GAGAGAGAGAGAGAGAGAGAGAGAGAGAGAGAGAGAGAGAGAGAGAGAGGGAGGGACGGTGGGACTGTATTTGATGTATTGATTGATATCTATGCATTCCTTTGTGGATCATTTGTTGATAGATTGACCGGTGTGTTGATGGACTGATCGATTGTGTGATTCATGATTGGGGATTGCAGGAAGTGACCCAGAAGTGGAGGGGTGGGAGGAAAGCCATGAGCAATTGTAGGAGACGGAGGGCGTGAGGAAGTGTACGAACAAGAGGGGAAAGTGAAAACAAGAGGGCGATTGAGCGAAAGAAGGGAAACATACCCTTGCATGGTTGGGTTATGAGATAATGCGACCTCAGGTGCCCATGACAGGGTGGGGAGCACCTGAAGCGGCTCCTCAAGGGCCAGGGGTATCCTTCGGGGCTCCACCAACACAACAGCAGATGCCAACATACGGGACTCTGCCATCGCAACAGCAACAGTTACCTCTGGGTCCATCCTATCAGCATCAAGGACCACCGGGGCCGTCACCAGTGGTTGCCCATCAAACCTCTACGGGCCAGCAAATGATAGGATCAAGCACTGGCCCACAGCAAGGCTTCAGGCCAACTGGCAGTCCTATGCAGCGTCCCGGCCCTCCGCCGATGATGGGTGCACCGCTGGTGGGCCCCAGGGATTTTCAGCGTGGCCCACCTCCGAGTTCCACCGCCTCTGCGACGCTGACACCAGGACCTATGGGACAAATGCGCCCCCCGTCAATGCGTCCTATGGGTGGAGGTGACATGGTGGGCCTGCAACATCGTCAGTCTACCCCGCAGCAGCATCTGACCTCGGGAGTGGGAGGAGAGTTGATGGGGAATGGCCCCCCGGTCCCGCGTTCGGGAACAATGGGGATGGGTTATCCACCGGGACCACCACCACCTTCTGGTACAGCTGGGCTGGGCCCTGGGTTCAGGGGTCCTCCTGCTCCTGCAGGTGCAGGGGCAGCGCTGTGGAGCCAGCCAGGTGATGGGCCGTTACGTCCTCCTCTTCCCCCTTCGGCTTCGTCATTGCCGCAATCAGAGAGCATGCGGGAGGGTTCTGCGCCTGCAACAGCGAACTCCTTTTTCACATCCCCATCTCCAATGAGTCCCCCTGGTCTGACAGGCCCGTCCGGACCACAAGCGATGGCAGTCGGACCACCACCTCATGGCCCTCGTCCATCGTCTTCACCCTTGCCGTATGGTCTCGGTGATCCTCAGCCAGGTGGCAGGGGTGGTGTCTCTGCCCCTCCAATGTCTCGGTCGCTGCCCCCCACAAATGCCGCTCCTCCCACATCACATCCACCCTACATGTCAGCCTACACACCGTCGCCACCACAGCCTCCAATGATGCAGATGAGGCAGATGTCACTGGGTGCTCCTGCATCCGCCTCTGTGCCTCCTGTCCAATCAATGGGGCTGCCTTCACAGGGATCTTTTGCGCCTATGGGACCGCCATCTCAACCGCCGACCATGATGCACCCTTCCATTGGGGCCCCGGGACTTGGACAACAGCAACACGTGTATTCAGATCCATACGGTTCGAGGATGCCTGGAGGAGCTCGCCCTTTGCATGGTTCTCTTGGGGTCTCAAATGCGCAAGTTGCTCATGGGTCTGTCAGCAGCCCCCCGCCGCCTATGTCTCGTATTGACCCCCACTCTATCCCCCACCCAATAGAGGGGGAATCGGTAGATGAGGTGTTTCAGACACGCGCAGGCGGGATGGGAACCCCTCCCCCCCCAGCCACATCTCATTTTGTGGCGAAAGACACCGGAAATTGTAACCCTAGGTTCATGAGATGCACGATGAGTCAGATACCAGTGAATGACGACTTGCTGACAAAGTCGGCGATGCCGTTGGCACTCATGGTCCAGCCACTTGCATTGCCGGATCCAGAGGAAGAACAGATCCAGGTAGTGGATTTCGGCGAGTCGGGACCTGTACGATGTGCACGATGCAAGGCATACATCAACCCTTTCATGAGGTTTCTGGACGCGGGGCGGCGATTTCAATGTAACCTCTGTGGTAACATGAATGAGACGCCAAGGTCATATTTCTGCAATTTGGGGCCCGACATGAGACGAAGGGACGCGGATGAGCGCCCAGAATTGTGCAAAGGCACTGTGGAATTTGTGGCAACGCCGGAGTTCATGATCCGACCGCCGATGTCGCGAACGTACTTCTTCTTGATCGATGTGTCGATGACCGCCGTCTCCAGTGGCATGACAGCTTGCGTATGCAATGCTATCTGCAGGTGCCTGAGCGGGTTGCCCGAAAGCTCAAGGACCATGATTGGGATTGCGACATTCGATGCGACAATTCATTTCTACAACTTGAGTCCTTCTCTGTCCCAACCTGCAATGCTGGTGGTCCCCGATGTGGATGACGTCTATGCACCTCAACCGTTGGATTTGGTTGTCCCTCTTCGGAGGAGTTTCGACCATATCGTGGCCCTCCTGGAGAACATTCCAAGCATGTTCCAAAACACACGCATTGCCGACTCCTCGTTCGGTGCAGCAGTTCAGGGTGCCTATCTTGCGCTGAAGCCCACAGGAGGCCGGTTACTAGTGTTTCAGTCCGTGTTGCCAACCATCGGTGTTGGCGCGTTGCGTGGGCGAGAAAGCGAGGCAAAGTCGTCGTCTGTGGCAACAGCGACAGGAGACAAAAAGGAAACACACAAGCTTCTTCTCCCAGCAGATCCAACTTTCAAGAAACTCGCAACGGAATTTGCAGAGTTTCAAGTTTCTGTCGATTTGTTTCTCACTTCTCTTGCGTACGTCGACGTCGCATCCTTGTCTGTCCTTCCTAAAACTACTGGCGGCCAGGTGTATTATTACTCCCCTTTCGCTGCAGCCGTCGATTCTTCGAAGATTTATAACGATCTCCGATGGAACTTAACAAGACCGCAAGGTTTCGAAGCAGTACTGAGAGTGAGGTGCAGTCGGGGGCTCTCGGTTCAGGATTACAGAGGAAACTTCTGCAAGCGCATTCCCACGGACGTAGACCTGCCGTCGATCGATTGCGACAAATCAATCATGGTGACATTCAAGCATGATGATAAGCTTCAGGATGGCGAAGAGGTATGCTTCCAGTGCGGGCTGCTCTACACGACGGCAGAAGGGCAGAGACGGATCAGAGTGCACACACTTTCTTTGCCTTGCACGTCTGCTCTGGGCAACCTTTTCCGGTGCGCGGACCTGTATACACAGTTCGCCTACTTCTTGAAGCAAGCGGCGGAGCAGGTTCCGTCGACTCCTCTAGGAACAATCAGAGAAAGTATCGTGAATCATTGCGTGAACATTCTGCATTCTTACCGCAAGAATTGTGCAACGTCGACGGCCCCCGCACAGCTCGTTCTGCCAGAAGCCCTCAAGCTGCTGCCTCTATACACTCTGGCGTTGCAGAAAAGCGTCGGGCTCAGGTCTGACGTGTTCGTGGATGAGAGAGCGTATTGGCTTGCGCGGGTGTCATCGTTGTCGACCGCTTTGTCCATTCCTCTGGTCTATCCACGGATGTTCGCTTTGCACAATCTCCCATCTACGGGAGATGCCAACGCCAACGGTTCTTCAGCTGGTGGAATATTGCCTCTTCCCGTTCATCTCTCAAGCGAGAGGCTGGACCACGAGGGCGTATTTTTGCTCGAAAATGGCGAGGATGCTTATATTTGGGTCGGGAAGGGAGCGAGCACCGATCTGCTCTACCAGTTGTTCGGTGTCCGGTCCGTCGATGAAATAATGCCGCCAGGCCAGTTCGTGCTGCAGGAGTACGACAACGAGCACTCGAAGCGGCTGCATGAAATCCTGAACCACATCCGACGGCAGCGATGCTCTTACCTTCGCTTGCGAGTTATTCGGCGAGGTGATCCCTTGGAGAATGCTTTCTTCTGGAACCTCGTGGAGGACAAGACGCCCGGGAACGCGTCGTACACGGAGTTTCTTTGTCACGTCCACCAGCAGATACAGAATAAGCTAGCAGGGTCAGTAAACTGACTCCTGGTTTGAGCAACAGATGTGTACCTGCTGTTTTGTTGACAACGGAGATACAATAGTGACATCGAACACGACATGCTGGGCGGTTTACCTCTCACGGAATCGCACGAAGCGTCCGCCGAACCACAGGCGAAAATGCCCATCCAATACTCTCTTTCTTCCCGAGTCAAGCGCTCAGAAATGGAGAATCCTTTCCGTCGAAACCGCCCTGCATTGCGAGGACGGCCGATTTGAGTAAGATGGGGTTGCTGGAAGTTTAATCCACCAGTACCTCAGGGGGTCTTAGGCCCCCTCTCACACGAATGAATACAGACCCGCGCGGCACACCGATTCATTCACCGCGTCAGCGCCTAAAAACGAGGTAGGATCTGGTGGCTTAAGGCACTTGCGATGTTTCGCATCTTGGCATCGACTTGGTGTGTCTTTTCTGAAGGGATGTCGTTGCTACAGAACGAGGCTCGAAGAGATCTCCGACCCTTCGCATTTTTTTACGTGTTCTTATGTCGTTTGTCTACGTGACACGATGGGTTGATTATTTCCTTTGTTCGTAGGAAGTAAGTGTAGTCGCTGCATCCATGTCCGCATGTGAGCATGGCTGGATCGGTGTGAGCATGGCGGTAGAAGAGAATACGTGTTTGACACAGAGATTGTAGGCGCCCTGTGCGGACGATTGATATGGTGAATAAATTGTGGTGATTGTTACAGGTGAATAAATTGTGGTGATTGTTAAAGGTGAATAAATTATGTGGAGCCAGTGAGTCACTGTGGACAGCATTGTTTTTGTTTAAAAAAAAAAAAAAATTGCTTTGTTTTTGTGGACAGCGTTGTTTTTCAGGCAGGAAACAGGATTTGGTAATTGAACTCTGTTGTAGAAGCCTAGAAGGACAGTTCGTTTTTTTTTTTTTTAATTGCTTTTTTCAACTATCGAGTTTTGTTTGTAAACTTTTTAAGACCTTTCTAAGTTTTTTTTTTTTTTTTGGTAATTTATTTTAATAATGAAAAGCCAGTGAGTTGGTTTTGAACTTTGTTTAAGTTGGTTTTCAGAATTTTTCTAGGCTACCAGATATCCGGGCGATGGACGGACATCAAGCCCGGACGTCGACCGTGGACAGATAGGACGGGGCTCAGCTATCCGAAAAATTCCCGACAGCTATATTTAGGAAACGAAGTGGAAAAAAAAAAAAAAAAAAAAAAAAAGTTATTTGGTGTCTCGAAATTTACTACGAGTTTGGAGATCGTTCTGAGGCAAAAGTTGTTTGCTTTGCAGTCCTCTATATAACGTATGTTTTTTTTTTTTCAGGTTTTTTTTTTTTTGTCAGGATTTAGTAATTTACTACTTCGTTATTTTGCGTTAGGCCGGACAGAGCTGGACAAATCCATCCGTCGGGACAGATGTCGATACGAATCGGACATCTCGGACACCCAGGAGGGGCCCGTACGTCAGGGCTGGAAGCCTAGTTTTTTTTTTCCTTATTTAACGGCAAGGCTCCTGGCTTTGTCCTACAAAACAAGTGGGGTAGTTGCTGCTTTGTTGAAGGGGTTTACAAGCTTCCATCACATGTAATACTTTATCTCTGCCGTCTTCTTTTTTTTTTTTTTTTCTAAAAGTAAAAGGGCGGCGGCCTTCGGATATCATCATTGAACTGACCGGCCCGGTGTAATTCAGAAGGATTATCCTGGTCACTTTGGTTCCATCTGGATTCCAACTCAGGTCTATATTTCAACAGGTTATTGGTGTACCAACTTAGCTAGGCCCGCTGCCATTCTCTATTCTGCACACTCTTAGAAAGCTGCCGGAAAAGTCCAGGCCATAAGGACCCGTTTCAAAAAAAAAAAAAAAAAAAAAAAAAAAA